TGATCGTGACGCTTCTCGTGTAGTACCCATGATGATTGATCTTATCCCCTGGGTTGGTAAAGGTTGAGGTTATTCACATCGTCAAATGTAGGTACTTGCTAGCGGACTAAGCAGGCTAACTAGCGAGAATATTGCTGCCCTGGAAGAATCCCGATGATCGCCTTGTCGGTAGTCTACTATCTACTGTAGTACTTTATTGTAGGCCTAACCTTCTTCATTTTATTTCCCAATTACATCAAAGGAAGCATTACCATTATCCGTGAGATTATACTTACTACTTACTACCTAAACCATCTAGCAATAGTAGTAGAAACTAGAAAGTAGGAGGTACTTACCGACCTCAGTAAGTGAGTATGCTTTTCACCAGACGCGACTCATACATAGTGCAGGATGTGATAGATGATAGGCCGAAGGAATTCGGTGGGATCTTCCCCCCAACTGTCGCATAATTAGAATAGAATAATAATCAACCCTAACCGCCAAACCTAACCAACAATATCGACAAAGAGCCCTCGCCCGTCAATAACGGCGGCTATATGCCGTTGCCTGTCTCAACTAACCTTAACTCTTGACTTTTGGAATACCAACATCAGTCAATCATCCGGACCGATGGATAGCCGCTCGGGATGAGTTCTCAACTGGGACTCTACTTTTCGTAGATACTACCCTTCCCAGTGAGTGCCGGTCTCCGGGTAGAGAGTGGGTTAGAGACCGGAGTCGTACTAAGTAAGTCCGTAGTAGGAGTAGGGACCATAAGTTTCCATGCTAGTATAGTTAGTTAGTTAGATGTCTGTAAGTAGTGTAGTGGGTGCAGAGGATGGTCGGTATCAGAACCATGGTTAGTATTACGGGTGGGGCCACAAATCGGATATCGATAGCCTATCGATTCGATCATTCCTGACAGTACGACCCCTCTATCCGATACAGTCGAAACTTTCCGTCAATCCATGTGCCTGTCCTCCGTCTCTCTCTGTGTCTGTCTGTCTCTCTCTGCCAGTCGCTTATCCCGTAGCAGCCCGAACTCAGGCATGCGTTTCCCTTCTCTATCCCTCCCGACAGTAATCAATCACATCCGAGAACGCAAAACGATTGATTGGTACCTGGGGTCCAGCACACTGGGTTCATGGTTTCAAGCACACACCACACCACAACACAACCCCCTCCCTTCCTATTCATCCTCAGGTTCGATGATGATCCCACAATGTACGTACATATGTAGGTGGGTAGGTACCTGAACAACAGGCCCGTTCATCCTACCAGGACCTGAGGAGGAGGGGGGGCTCTCTTGGCTCCTCGGTGTTTTGGATTTGGGAAAGATGATGCCCAAAAGAGGAGATCGTCTGTGCGCTCAGTCAGTGTGCATCCATCCCATGATCGACCCCTGGGATAGGGCGAGTCGTGAGTTACAGGACGATACCAAGAATACCAGGCGATGAGGCCATACCCCCCTCCCTCCCCCTCGTACTTTTTTTTCTTCCGGTGGGAGGAAGAGAGGGCAGGCGGGCTTGGGATCAGATGGACGGACTCGATGTCATACACTACATACGGAACACCACCACCCATCCCCACCCCCCCCGGGCATGAAGCGTATCGCCCTCCAGCCTTCAGTTGCGGGCATGACCAATCATTCGCGCGCGCAACAGTGCGACATCCCTCATGGCTTGAGAGGAAACTATTTCCATCGTGATCATCAGAATTGAACGCCAGAGCGCTGGGAACCAAAAAAGCTCCTGAGGCTGGATCAGGCTGTTGATGCTGATGAAGAAGTACGGAATGTTTCCTGCTAAGACCGGCTTAGAGGAGAGAATGATCCGATGGGCTAGCATCGCATCCTTCAATGAAGCCTCGTTCTTATCGTAATTCTTATTGTTGGTGTGATATGCCCGTGACAGCAGCCTCTCCCAAGCCTAGATGTTTGCTTTCACTTGCTACCATTATCATCCACCACCACAATACTATACACATGCTTCTATTTTGCTTTTTCCCCCATCCATAGCACCTTGATAGAGAACCTAGGAAATCACCACAAATTCATCTCTGGTACCGTTAGGGCCGGCCCGTAGAAGGGAGATCCATCCAATCCGTCCAAAGAAGTTGATCCACAACCAATAACCACAAAGAAAACCAAATCAGCCAGTCATTCCACGGGTGGACGACAAGACAAAAAACCAAAACAAAAGGGCCCTTTTGCCATTTCGGTTAGACTGGGTCATTGCCTGCCCGCGCGGCCCCTTCAATCGGCGCGCGCGCATCGCATGCACACCCGTTCTGTTGCGACACACACTCACTCACACACACCCGCGCCCGCCCGTGCTGTTCGAACCAATTCCATGACAGATTACCTGAAATGCACATACCGCACGGAAGCTGCAACTCAGGATGCAGAAACAAAAAAGCACGGACACACACTCTCTCTTTGGATTTCATCTTGGACTGGATGTCCTCCAGTCAGACACAGATATTAATCAGGTTTACGGTTTGATTGATTAATTATTATTTTTTTTCTTTTTGGGGATGATTTGCCGAGCTGGTGTTTTTCTTTGCTTTTTTGTTTCTCGATTCTGGCGTTGGTGCTAGGCTCTTAGTAGTTTAGTTTACTGTAAGTAAGCAAGTCAGTGATTTACTTACCTACCTCTATGCTTCACTAGTCAGGCAGGTAGGTAGTAGTCAGTTAAATTACCTCTTTCGGTATAAGCACCACCATCAACTTATGGAGCTTAATCCACTTTTGACGGTTCACCTGCATTTTCTTTCTCTTTCTTCGTGTGGTGTGGCGGTTGATACTAGTATCTAGTAACTGTTAGGCTAGCCATATCCACTCACCCTGTTTGTTTCGTCCTTAGGTAACCATCTTACCTAAGTAACCTCAACGGCGGAGTCACGAGATGGAAGTCATTCATCCAGTCCGTCAGTCTATCGACCGAAAAGAAAATAATCACAAGGGAAAAACTTAATGTTTGTTAATTTCCCAATTAGGAAGGACACACGGAGTAAATTATCATCAATCGCATCCTCCATCCCGTCCCTCCCTCCACCTGTGACCATCACCAGTAACAGAATTCGTCATCCATCTACTAGGTAGCACTCCGTACTTTCCTATTACTCAACTAACTAAATCCCTACACTGGAAAGAAACTAAAAAAAAAAAAAAAAAAAAAAAAAAAAAAAAAAAAAAAAAAAAAAAAAAAAAAAAAAAAAAAAAAAAAAAAAATTGATAATTGCCAGTAAATAACCCCAGGTAAGGCATCACTGCTTCTTCCCCCTTTCTTGCACTTTCCTGCGGGGAAACCAACGCCAATCCAATCGATGTCATCGCATCTCGCTCGGATCCTTGGCCGTGCGCACCGCACGATCTGGGTTCTCATGCAGAGACAGGGCGAGTTTGGGTTGAAGCATATGGCCATCCATGGCCATGGCCCATGGCCAAGGCAAGAAACGGTTTGCGCATATCTTTGCTTGGCTTGGCAGGAAGCAGGAGTAGAAGCAGAAGCTAGAGCTGGAGCTCGAGCTCGAGCTAGAGTTTCGAGCTTGGAGGTGATGTGATGTGATGTGAGGCTGTAGTTGGTTGTAGTATTGTGATTTTCTGCAGATAAGGGGTGAGGTAGATTGGTATGTGTCTTAACTAGACATGTGCGTTGCCTTGGTTTGCCTTGTCTGGGTGTTGCCATATGGCTCTTGGTGTTTCAAAATATGTAGGTAGGGTACTGGATAGACCTAATAGTAGTGAGTGAATGGGTGAGTAGTATGTAGCAAGCTTTCCCATCCTCCATGATTGGCTTAACGCAGTGATGCTACAATACATATACTCAGACACTATAGCATCACAACTACTTACCTACCACAGTAAGATCACTCCTCTCATACTACTAATCGAAGAACTGAATGACATCCGAGAACCTTCCCCTCCAATTCGGCCGATAGCATGATATCACAGCATCACCCTCCCCTCCTCCCAAACCAACGTGTCCTAGTCCCCATGATTCGAGGCATCAATACCCCGAAATCCTCAATATGTAAACTAATCTCAAGCAGCGAAGCATAGTACATAGTCACACAACAATGCCTGCGCCGATCCACATCCACCGCCCCAAAGCAACAACATAACATAACAGAACATAGTAACATAGATGGCTAGTCCCCGAAATCCTACAGTATGCACAAGGACCGAAGTAGCAACTAGAAAGCCCACTTACTTACCGCCAACTATCTACTATCGATAAGATGAAACAGACCAGAAGAATCCATGACCCACTTATTGCACTATACTACTTATTTACTAGAATAGTATGCTGCTAGTTAGTCCAGTCGGCAAGCAAAAGCAAGCAAAGCAAGCTTGGACGTCGTCACCGACCACTTAGACTACTGTGTGTGTATTTACTCGGAGGTTTGTTGGTATGTGCGCTGCGTAGTAGTAGTAGTAGTAGTAGTAGTAGTAGTAGTAGTAGTAGTAGTAGTAGTAGTAGTGCAACAGAAAGAAGAAGAGAGGTATGAGTCACACTGTCTACGGCTCCCCCTCCTCCGGTTTGTTTTCTCGAAGCTTTACCGGTCTAGATGAGTTCCTGATTGGGATGGAATCCATCATCCCCTTGATGACTTGGTGTTTCAGGTTGTTGTTGTTGGGGTTTGTATGTGTGTTGATGTCATGGGTTAATTCTGTTGCTTACTCTGTAGGCTTAGCCTTACTGGTCTGTGTTTATATTATTGGTATACTGTCTAGAGAAGAATGAAGCTATTGTATGGAGTAAGATTGGATGCCACGTTTCACAGGTAGATAGGCAATTTTACCTTGTGGTACGTATAATCAAGGACAAGAAGACGGGATGAGAAGGAATGGAATGTATCGATCATCTCATCTACGCAGCGACTACTACCGATGTGCATTGGTATCGGGTACGCATGGAAATCCCAAAAGCAAAGAGTCAGTCCGTAAGCATGTCATATCCAGGGCCGGCAAAGCAGCGGTGCCCGCTATTCGCGACAATCGCGTGGAACGTGAAATGCAAAAGAAGACACAGAAAAGAAAAAAAGCAATTAACTTGCCCTACATATGCCTGCTGCTGCTACTGCTCCTGCTACTGCTGATGCAATGCATTAACTTTGCCGGTGTTCAGATCATCTCATGCACCAAGTGAAGAGGGGACGAAGGAACAGATTGCATCCGATATCGAGTCAGAAGCAAATCAACAGTGAACAACAAAGACAAGGGAAGCAAACCCAATCGGATACGAGCCAAAAAGACAACTTGAAACAATACCCTAGAAGCAGTATTCTTTCTTTAGTGTTCTTTTTCTTTCTCATTTCTCATTGGGTTAAGGCGGATCCTCATGGTGATTTGGAATTGCAGCAAAGGAGGCGAACATGTACGGTGTGCAGGAGTGGGTGGGAAGGGAAGAGTTGGGTGTGGGTATGGAACCTGACCGTTATTCAACCCGGGGTCCTGGATAGGATCAGGCCGGGGGAAAGGGGGTGGTGGGTGCTCAGCGGCAGACAGACACGTGAATGCAGTCGACAAGTCTAAATCTGATTTCTCATTTCAGAATTTGCCATCAGGACAAGGAGAAGGAGCATCTCGGGCCTGCCGTGACTGGCGACCTGTCCCCATTCCGGGTAATCGCTCGTCTTGCGATGACGATGCCGAGTGGCCATTCTGGCGGTGTACACCAGCCCCGGGTCCAATTGAAAGAGGCGAGAGAAGCGACCGGTGGAGTGGTGCTAATTGAACGGAAATTAAGACTTCGCCTCTTGAAGAATCAGCGCATGCGGGCTGCTATCTAGGGAATTGGCCGTCAGCAATGGGTTGAGTTGATTCTTTTTGGCTCTTACAAGGGATCGGATTGGACGTAATGGTGGCTCAACCACAATCATAACCACTCTGCTCAGAAGCCAATGGCTTACGGACGATCGACGACGATAGGCTTATTCAGAGAGGATGCATAAATTGTGAGAGCATTGTCATACTCGAATTGAAAGAATGAAGGAAGCTCCCGGGTCAGTGGGCCGGTCAGTCTCGTTCTCGAAGATTGGCTTTCTCGGACTCGGTTGCATGATACCATTGTTGCCCAACGAGGCTGCTGATCGTATAAATTTAGTAGTTTGCATTACGAAGCAGGAAGTAGAGAGCGATGAAATGAGGTAATTCTGGGTGCTAAATGACTTGCAGTTGAGAAATTGAGGTAGGATAGGATAGTAAGAATAGCATCTACTCTGTAGAACTGGAATAGTTCATTGCTAGGCACCAGAGTTGTAGTCAGTCAGTCAGTTCCTAGATACAGAACAAGCAACTTCCAGCAGTAACACCGCCCCAAGTCACGTTTCCCGGCCTGATCTACGGCGTTCCGCCAATCAGCGGTAGGCTGGGCATCCAAAGGAACAAAAGAGCCCTGGTTGACTAGTACTCACCACTACCCGGGTAAGTGACTAGTAACTCCTAGTAGTATATCAACCTGCGGTATCATCTCCAGTTCGGTCCTCGACTGCAGTGAACAAAAGTAATTAACATAGTGGACCCCGTCGACCATTCTCGAAGACTCTGCCTATCGGATCCCACTTGTATCTTCCCCAGAAAGCTAAACGAGGGGCACTTCATCGGGTAGATACCAAAGTAACTATCTGAACTAAACTAAAGATGCAAAATATCGGTGTTGAAGGAATGTCGGTCATTGGGTCATTCCCCTCGTAACTGGTCCATCCGAGCCAATTGGCGGTGATGCTTGTCATCAGGCACAGACTGACTGACTGCACCGGTCCGTGATCTGATCGCCTTTTTTTTCTTTTCTTTTCTTTTTCCTTTGCCTTGTACCTTCATCCTGGTCATCTATCTAGTACCTAGTTGGTTAGTTAGTGAGTAGGCAGTATGGATATTCCCCATGCATACAGACAGACTACGGCTTGTGGCATGTGGCGGTAGGTCGCTAAGGGGCCCCCCTCCTCCCCTCCTCAATCCCCGGAACAAACATCGTGCCACTGAGAAACCCCCAAGGAGCATTTATTAATTATCGCCTAAGCAAGGTCCCCCTGCCGGTAGTAGTCGGACGGAGCAAAGATTGTGCGTACAGATATGTACATGTATGTACTCTGTACGTGAGTAGGAGGATTGATGATAGGTGCCAGGACATCCGGTCCCCGGGCCAGGGCAGTAATAGCAAGCCACGAGGCAATGGGAAAGTCGGGACTAACAAACATGAAACAAGACCCCCAGGACAGGTGTTTCAACTCGACTTGCTTAGACTCGACTACTAAACAGCCTGGCTGGCAGCTTCTCGTTGGTGTCCGCAATCCGCATCCGCATCAGCACGGTTCAAGGCATGGCATGGCATGGCATGGAATGGCGGGTGTCGCGTCTCATCGTCGTCCTTTCGGCCGGCCCTGATCGCTCCAACCGGCACAAAGAACGCCCGTGCCATCCCGGAACACGCGGTAAGTAAGAGTTGGGTTAGGTAGAAAGAAAAAGAGGGACTCGGAAAGGGAAAAGAGGGAAAAAAGCAGCGTGGCTCGCCTTGGTCCATGCGAACCATATGGGTAAAGCAGCCATTGACAGGGCTAGGATTTTGCAGTGCACCAGCCAGAGACCAGGTACCTCCCCTTAGCTGGTTATCTTCACCGTTAGTCGCTACACTAAAGAGCTAGCTTGCATTGCATTGCATCGGACGCGGATCCACGCTGTGGGGGTCGTCGGCTTTGATCGTCTTCGACCTGACTTCCTGTCAGGTTGGGGGAGTATGACTCACACGTCGGTCTGCTTCTGTCTCTCTCTCTCTCTCTGGGGTCGCCATGTGAGGACACAGGGGGATGGGTACTGCCTGACGCCCCGGACTCACCCTGGGCAGCACGTGTGGCTAGTCTGAAGCAATGTCTGCAGCAGGGAAGTGAGATGTAGCATACAGTAAACAGAAACAGAAACAGAAAATTGATATTCATCTCCATTGGTAGGCTACCTATGGCTTCATGTCTCAACACACAACGTCATCATGTAGAACTACATTTCCAAGTGTCATCCCTTACCAACCCATAGAATTTATCCAAGATCGTCAAACGGACTCGTATACACACCGTCTGCAAGTAAACAACATGCTGAACGCATAGGGGTATCTTCATCTGCGACTGGAACACGACATTCCGTAAGGCATCAAACTTTCAAGGCAGGCATTAATTGGCCACTATGTAATGAATTATTTCCCTCTTATTCTGTTTCTTTCTTTCTGATTTATTTGCTTTTCTTTCCTCTTGCCATTGCCCGTTTCTTGTTCCGTTTGGGGTATCCGTAGAATTCAAGCCAACTTCAATTACAGACTGTGGTAATGTTAGTGGGTATGAATGTTTAGAGACGGATGTAGTCCTGTTGTTGCGACACCTCGCCAGTATCTGACTCGGCCGCGATGAGCTGTGGCTCATCCTCATCGAGATCGTCCGAATCGACGTCATCCGTGTCAATCTCATCGTACTCTTCTTCCTCGCTGGATGCATCAGACTCTTCCGCAAGGCCCGTAGCATCAGTCTTAGAAGCGGCATTTTTCCTGATCTGTCCTGCCCGATCAACATGGGGGAGGCGGCAGCGCTTCTTGTTGCAAACGCCCTCATTCGCATAGTCTGGGCATTCGTGAACGTGTCGTTGGTCGCATTCGGCACCTTTTTCGCAATATCCTAAAACCGCAAAGTCCCTGCACACAGGAGCGCCCGGGGTCACACGGACATGGGCATAGCGACATTCGGGGTTGGAACAGCGCCCTCGCAGGAAATGCACGCAGGCAGGGGATCTGTGGGGCGAGGGCTCATGAGAGAGATCACAACTTATACCTGCATTGCATTGACCAGTCTGGAGGAAGTCCTTGCACATTGCAACCTTGTTCGGGTCGTGAATATAGGGACATGTTGGTCCTTTGTAACAGCTGCCTAAACGTTTGAAGATCCTGATCAGCGTGATCCCGCAGAAGATGAAACAATAATGAGATGGGGGCAAGGGCCACTCAGGGCCTCGTGTAGGGAAAGCATTGGTACCCGTCGTAGTGAATCGCTGGCAAAGCGCGTTCTTCTTCTTGACCGTCATTGGTTTTCTATATTTGAAGTAAGCTTCCAAACTCGCCACATGGACAACACAACCGCCACCTTTTTGATGTAACAGCACCCAAGCGGTGGAGATTTCCGTTCTTGCTCCGGACAAAAGCGACGCCTGCCACTGTCACTCGTTTTGGCGTAGCGTTGGCAGTATTCGGATTATCTATGACCGGTAAGCTAGTTCGCTTGACCAGAGCATCTACAGCGCACGCACCAGACACTCGGATCAGCTTGCCACCACCGCGCGACACCCGAAACGGTATGTCGTTGACGAAAACCTGATACTCCGCTGACGGGTCTGCAGTAGTTGACACCTGAGGAGCCGCGAAGCCCGTAGGATGCACTCTGCCAACGCCCTGTGCGTAATTCATAACTCTCGCCTGCTCGACCTGTGCTCTCTTTTGCGCCTTGGCCTGGCGACTCTCCTCCATCGCCTTCGTCCTCGCTTGTGTCTCTTTGTCGTATATCGAAGTGTTGATGAGCTGCATATGACGATCGCGTTTCACAACCCACTCATTTGGTGTTGCAGATCGCGCCTCACCGTCTGTATCAGTCCCCGTGCCAGCTGGAGTAGCCGATCCAGGTGTACCTGATGTTGCATTGTTGAGGATGAGGGTACGGTGGCGATGGGGAGCTACATGACGGCCTCGTGAGTAGTGTCGTCCACGATAAGGCGCCCACCCGCGACCTCGGTAAGGAACATGTCGCGAAACGTGTTGGCCTGGAGCTATTTCGCTACTGTAGGGAGACTCAGGCTGAGACTGTTGAGTTTTGTGCCTATTGATCTGGCCTGGTGGAGGTTAGAGGCCGGCACGGTTATGGATAGCTAGAATGCGCTTACCAGCAAGCTGGCTGATTTTGGCCATCAGATCCTGATCTTCTGTCATTTTAACCTGAGTAGGCGGCCAAAGCCACGTTAGCAAGTCACTCAAAGTAGAATCTTTCGTCTATACTGGGTAGCTGAATGACAGACGCCGCTGAGTTGTAAGAGATGAGCTTGTGTTGATGATGCGGATGATGAAATGACGAACGCGGTGTGTGGCGGCCGATGGTCACGTGTTCCTGCGCTTTGTATGGATGCCATTGCTGTCTAGGTATGTTCTGACAATGACTACGGAGTACGGAGTATGTTATGAGATTTTCTACTTCGAACAAAGAAATTTTCATTGACTTGAGCGATTCAGCTCGATGATATTGTTCTGTAAAAATGTGTGTTAGATGTTGGGCCTGTCATCTAGGCGCTCATGATATACTATCTAAACAGCCTGTATCAAATCACCCAAACCCCAAAGTAACGCCATGGCCCTTATGCTACATCGGATCCGTATCCTTAAACAACGTTCTCGAACTGTCCTTCGTCATTATCGGTCATCATGCCGGAAGGAGTGGCCTCCTCTTCAGAGCCATCCTCGAAGTTGTAGTCTCCCGGTGCGAGTTCATCCTTAGCATCGCTGTACATCGCATTGGCGTAGTTGCTTTCCCTCGCTTCGGGCTTCAGCTCCCAGGTCATAGCAAAGTCACCGGCTTTGACCAAATGCGCAACCATTTCCAAAGTTTGTTTGAGATAAGCCTCGGGCTGTCGCAGTCTCGCCTTGAGGTTCTTAAATGGCCAGTACTTGTATTCCCTGAAGCACTGGTAGATAAGATCCAACAGTTCGTTTTGAGGCATACGCGTGGTTTTGTTTTCCTGGGCCTTGGGCTTGGCTGGCCTCGTTGCTTGCTGGAATGGAAAGTATTTTGTAAGTCAAGTAGAACTAATAAGCACGGCAAAGGAAAACTTACCACAAAAGCACCCTTCTCTCCAGGCAATGCATTCCGCGGCTGGAGCATCTTGCCCGGAATCTTATCAATAAATACAGTCTCACGCTTCGGTTTGAGTGCCTCCAGAGCCTTCTTCTCCGACAGCCGCCGGAATTCCTCGTTCTCAACCGGAAGGCAGTTGAACTCTTCACTCACGCTCCCGACCAAAGCCGTTTGTTCTGCAGCAATGTCAGCAAGACCACCTTTGTCGCAGTAACAGGGTACATACTCGGTACAGTTTTTCTGACGTAGGGCTCCCATTTCTTCTTGCGCTCCTTCTTCTTCATTTCCCGCTTCATCGACTCATAGAGCGCCGAACGCGCCTCGCCAAAAACTACCATTCGATTCTCATGACCTGGGAGGTCCCTCTCCGTGAAAAGGTACGTATTTTGCGTCAAGTGCGAAACATTCTCTGAGGTTATCGTTTGTCGTTGCAGTAGGTAGTCTTTAGGAATATCGCGATTGTCTTCTCGTGCGTTTATGCGCAAACTGACCTACAAAGATCACAAAAGTCAGTCCGTGTAACACAAAAACGCAAACCGAGGTTCCTCGACAAAGTTCTTCGCAGATGGAGACATACCCGTTTAAGATCATTCTGTGTACCCTCGATCCTCATTGTCCCGATCTGAATTTCCTCGTCGTCATCGCCGGCGCTGTTTGACAGATGCGCCCAATGTTCCCATAGTGACCGGGGCAGCCGTGAAAGCCAGACGCTTTGGTTTGCAGCCGAGAAGTCTAGATCGCCCGCATCCTCATACAAATCTTCATCGTCAATATCAGCGAGCACTGTATCCTTGCTGTCGGGATCCTGTTTGATGTATGGGTCGGGTTTGATGTATGGTGTCTGGGAATCAGGCTCCTGTTTGACTTGGGGGACCATGGCGCCACACAGCCTAATACTGGAGCGAACAAAAGTGTTGACTAGTAGCCCAAATTTCCGAAGATAGTGAAGCGATCGTAACCGAGGCGTAAGAGAGCGACAAATCAGGGGATTAAATGAGTTCAAAAGAAAGCGTCAGTGACGTACGCGATGTTGAAGCTTCGAATGGGGAAGATGCGTCGCCGCAAGCAAGAAACCCGCCGCCCGAGCGGGTCGTCAAAGGCGGTGGGCAACTTGCGCTTCGAAGAGGAAAACATTAACACAATTCCATTCATACTTCTGCCTCAGCGTCCTAGCTTTCAACTTTAACATTAACCTAAAGATTCTTTTGGATAATTTGCTTTTGCTCAAACTACTAGACACGGCTGTTCCAAGTCAGCTCACACAATATTTGGAAAATCCGTATCCTGAGGCGGTAGCCCCCGTCACTAGGAATGTATTTCTTGGGGAGGTACAGGACGGGGTCTTAGTATACCATGAAGTGTCAGAGTACTCAACCATTGGACAGGAATACCCCATTGTATCATTTTGCCCAAGGTCAGTAGTCAAAGAACGTTGCAACTCTCTAAATTAGATGTGCTGCATTGAGTGCTGTGCTTGTAGTCCCTTATCGATAAGCTCCCCAGCTTCACTTCTCCATCGGCATCCACGCCATATTCCTGACGTACACCACCTCATCAACCCCTCTGCCCATCTAGAGAACACCACTTCCACCCGCAATTACCCGCCTACTCGAGTACCATATTCCACATCAACCTCACAATCACCTACTAGTCACATAACCACACCCATGGCCTCCCAAAAAATCACCTCCGCCCTCGCGGAGATCGAATCCTCCGCGAACCCCCAAAACAAGCTGCAGCTCTACAACAACCTCCTCAGCGACATCGTATCGACATCCACAGAACCCCAGATCTCCAGAGACCTCATCTACTTCCTTGACTCCGTTCTCAGCGAAGACATCAGCATCGTCGCCGCCCGCCCCATCCTCGATTTCTTCATCACCGTCCTCCGCAAACTCACCCAAGAAACCCAAATCAGCGTCGGTCAACACGCCATCACCCTCCTCCAATCCCGCTCCACCTCCGTCGAAGAACAAGACGCACAGATCCGCGAGCTTCTCGCAGACGCCTACGAAGCCGAAGGCCAGTACACCGACGCCGCAAAAGCCCTGCAGGGCATCCACATCGACAGTTCACAGCGGCTAGTCTCCGACGCCGCCAAGGTGCGACTATGGATTCGGATCGTGAGATACTATCTCGAGGAGGATGATACCACAAGTGCGGAAGCGTTCTTGAACCGCATTAAGAACCTACCGAGTAAGATTGAGGATCACGAGTTGAAGCTGCATTTCAAGCTATCCCAGGCTCGTATTCTGGATGCTCGTCGACGCTTCCTCGATGCTAGTCAGGAATACTTTAATGTTAGTCTTGCGGCGGGAGTGGATGAACAGGATCGGTTGCAGGCTTTGGCGGCTGCTATTAGGTGCGCGGTGCTCGCTCCGGCTGGGCCGCAGCGGTCTCGGATTCTGGCTACGCTGTATAAGGATGATCGGTCGACGTCGGTGGATGAGTTCGCTATCCTGGAGAAAATGTTCCTGGATCGGTTGCTGAATCCGGAGGAGGTGGCTGCGTTTGCGCAGCGGTTGGCGCCGCATCAGTTGGCTGTGACGGCGGATGGGTCTACCGTGCTGGATAAGGCTGTTGTTGAACACAATCTGGTTGCGGCTAGTAAGCTCTACGAGAATATTACGACTGATGCGTTGGGTGCGATCCTGGGGCTCCAGGGGAGTGGGGACTTCACGGCGGGAGAGAAGGCGGAGGATTATGCGGCGAGGATGGTCGAGCAAGGTCGATTGAAGGGGAGTATTGATCAGATTGATGGGATAATATACTTTGACGGAGGGAATGCCACTACAGGACAGCATATCCGGCAGTGGGATGCTGGGGTGCAGGGTTTGGCGGAAGATGTAGAGAGAGTGGCTACGAGCATCACCAATGCGTTTCCAGTGAGTACTATCATATGAGTGCCATTGTGGTGTACAGTGAGCTAACATAAAAGTAGGAATTTGCAGCTGGACAGCCGACAGTGCATTGAGGGTATGAAATAATACACCATGAATCAGAAATTAGCTAGCGACTTGTTTGTTTCACAGGCGTAATGATAAGAAGATGCGCAGAATACATGGTATATGGTACATGTGGGTGATGGTCGTTAGGAGCGTATGTTATACCGAGCGTCAAATGTAGGTGAAGATCAGGAGCTGTGACCTGTGTCGGAAGCGATGTATCGAGATGCCCGAATGATGATCAAGGCTGGCCATGTCTCAAGCCAAAGGGGCATCCAAGTCTGTGTACCTATGGAGTTCCGAGTTGCCTCTTTGTGTATGCAAAGAGTCAAATCTCATCTGCTGTGGCAGGTAGTGGCATATGCACGCGCAGGGATACAGCGACGTGCCATATAGCTGTGCGCGACACCGCTATGCGGATGGGTGTGTACCATTTCAGGCACGTTTCAAAAAAATTCGAAGCTCAGAGGGAGGTCAAACACCCTGACACGATCACTCATAACGGCGCTGCTCGCCACAAGAGCGTCAAGCTCAGTTGGCTTATAAATCAAGGCGAAAGAATGTCTGTAAAACCAAGTCTCACAGTCAATCGACCTCATCTCAAATACCGCGGCAGATCATCTTGCCTAACATCAATTTCCGTGCGAACAGTAATATCCAGCCAGCTAGTATCATTACTCTTAACACTGGAGGGCAGACCGCCCTCACTCGAATTCGACCTTCTCGGGACACCATTCTCCAACTTAATAGACTCCGCAGTGGAAGTCTTGCGACCCGTAGCCACGAAGTTGGAGGTACTGACATCGGTATTCCCATAATAGGGGACCTCATTCCGGTACTTGTAGTTATTGCTTGAGAGCTTTCCTCTCGGAAACAGGCCTCGGATGGTGGGCAGACAAGAGCAAATAAGCCCAATGGAGGGCTCAATATGCGTCCAAAGCGTAGCTTGGTAGACGGTATAGGTCATATCCGACTCATTGATCCAGAAGAGGACGACAACGCGGAAGATACTCGCGAAGCAGACGAAACCACCGAGAGCGAAGACGCCGTTGATGGCGAGTTTGTCTTGCCAGGAGCGGTGGAGACCCCAGATCAAGGGGATGGGGAGGGCTAGGAGGACGAAATCTATGACCACGTTGAAGATTTGGTTGACAACGATTAGGGTGTAGCCGTCTAGGCAGTGGCCGTCGACGCTTTGGTCCCAGTAGGCTTTTAGGGGGCGGCATTGGAGAGCGCAGGCGAGGAAGACGCCCAGGCCCCAGAGGCTTATGAGGAGGTTGATGCTGAAGGATGTCCATTGGAAGGTGCGGGTGGTGAAGATGCGGCGGTAGAAGCAGACGATTGAGACTTTGATGAGGGGACAGAGGGAGAAGTAGGTGAATTGGTTGGCGAGGAAGATCTGAGGTGGTCAGTTGGTGAAGATGGGAAGTGAATGTGGTAGGGGCAGTTGGTACCTTGTAGAAGTTCATCATTGTTTCGTTGCTCAGGTTGCTTTGGTGAGAGCCGTTGCCGCCGATGGTGACCCCTTTGGTTGTTTATTAGCAAGGTTGAATACTATGTATTGGTGAATATTTTCTAGGATAACTCACAAAGTGAGAGTTCGATGAGCATGCCAATTAGCAGGAGCATGCATGCGAAGCAAAGGTAGTCGTCCACCCCGAAATGTACTTTGCGTTTGAATCGGGCGACTATGCGTAGAATGACTGCTAAAAATGCGAGACTAACAAGCACCGTAACGATGCTTATCATTTCAACTCCCCTCGATGTAGGAGCCATATTGGACAGGGTGTTACTGGGAACAATGGTTTTAGGAAATGAAGAATGGGTATGAACGAGTGTTTGATTGAGCGAAGGTAAACAATATGATGCCTGTGATTATTACGCTTCGTAGTCCATTTGGGCGGTAGATATGGAAATGAGTGTTGATAACGAATGTTCAAGTAAAATGAGGAGGGTGCTGAGATATAACAAGGCAACCCGAGCATATGCCGAAGTATGAACTACTATGTGGACTGGGAAAAAAGGGACAGAGCTACAAAATAAGATGGAAGCCTATTGAATATGTATGGAGTGGACCAAGGGCATCATGCCTCGAACGCTTGATCGCAGGGAAAAGTGGTAGATCTAGATATGGGCCCTCTTTCCGTATGAGGATACTCACCGCGCCCATAGAGCAGGGAGCCAAAGGACCCTCATCTTGCGAGCTTAAAAGCAAGCCTCTTATTTGCGGGTTCCTCTTTTTCCACACAATCCACAAACTGGAATTTTTGGTCCTTTGAAACGCACCCGCAAAAACCATTCACCAGTGCACGCTGATAGCCTCCATGGTGTGCTAAGCAAGTGGAGCCGGTCGTATGACTTGAGTCGGGGTGGTCCCAATGTGTCCACTCTGATGTTGACAGACAGACCACCCTCGTGGCAAGTAACAAGCCATCCTTGGATTTGTGGATAGTAATACTGGTAGGCCGGATAGTATAGGCAATTCATTTGTCGACATATTCACCACGATTCCCGACTTGTGCTTCAACCCCAATTTTTTAAGGTCATGCAAGGTAATTTCCAGCGTAATATCAGTTAATATAAATCCCAATCTACCTTCAGCTAGTCTATTTCGCACTTGGCTCCAATGTATCGGGATCTCGGGATGCACGGCCCAGGAACCCTGGCTCCAAGTGTATTAATTGTGGCGAGCATACGCAATGGGCGGTGATAGCGCCAGAGTGTTTCACTCTCCATCATGTTGATAGTAGATCAGTGAAGAACCCCCAGGTTTGGGGTACTTCGGAAGTTTGTTTTTCTGCTATTGAATTGATTGATCTGCAATATCTTCTTCATCCGATAATCTGCAGTATAAAGCAAGTTACTCAGGGCGATCGCGGATTCAGTTGCACTCACTGTTGAGTGCGCATTCCGTGTTTCCGCAAAAGCGGATCAGGAGATCACTGACGAGGAGTGTGGTGGGTATAAGATGAGCCTATCGGGAACCCTAAGGAACTCAGATGGGCATGTTCAGCCCCGTGCTCCTTGAAACTGGAGAACTGTGGTTTATGCACCTCCAATCATGAACGACTCTGCCTAGTTCCAGTCATTTAGAAATTTTCACTCATCGCAGTAGTAATCGGCCAGACTGTCCCAGCTACTCCACCGCCCTGGTTGAGGTGGTGATAATGACTCGCAATGAGGCATGTAGCACACTCACTGGTCTTCGTCCAAAAAGGCTATTTAAGTGCAGCCATCCAGGTCTCGTTGAAGTTTCCTCACTTTCAGCTTTCTTCCCGCTTCTCTTTCCGTTCCATGTCTGTTTGATCCAAATGCTTTTATTAGCCGAACCACGGGTGGCTTTTTTGATCGACAGCCGCCGGTTCCCAAAAGGGCCGAGCGTTACCTAAACTCAACGATCAGCCTCGGCGCTTCCGAGGAAAGGTACGTGGAAGGCAACAGTCTTGATTTCTCTCACGTCAGCGAGCACATGGCTTGCAATGCATAAAGTTGCGGCTATTGGAATAGTTTCCTCAATGGTCTCTTAAAAGTGGATTGGAGGGCCACCTTAACTGGCCCAGTATCAACAAGGTTCCATCCCTGTTCGTGTGCAGCACGCATGCATAACATTGATCGACTATATATGTAGTGAGATGAGTCTTAGCATTCTTAGCTGTCTAGTATTCATCACATCAGGGGTATGGAGTAGGGTGTAAATAGTAATGGTAAATAGTGACAAGTCGTAACTTGGATTTGCCGTGGCATGAAACCCGAGAGTACTCCGTAGAACCCCTATCTGAGAATTGGTCTCCTTCCAAGTTTATGCCCTTCACTCTCGTTGGAAATAGTGGCACTCTCAACGTAGCGAGTTTCATATGTGTATAGGATAGTGATTTTAACTTTAGGGAGAATACATTGATCCTGGGAACAATCCTGAGGCAGTTGTCACACGTGGCTGGAGTGAGGGCTTCCCCCCCCCCCCCCCCGAGCTGGAAAGGTGGGGTCGTGTTTGTAGAATTGGCTTTGTTTGTGTAATCAATTGACTCCTCGGCTGACTCTCCCACCAAATGCAGGGTCTTCGATTGTGGTTCAGTCCTTCAAACGACATCTTACCTATTAATTCCGAGTGTTAACCCCCTGGTGGGATACCCCTATTGCCTGAATGTTTCGTTTGTGAACACATACTATCGTTTGTTTCTACCCGCGCCCATACTTTGACAGAACCTACAATGGCTGCACCTCCCCGCCCACCGGTGATCCCCTTGATCATCAACGGTCAAGAGGAATGCACGGGCTCTACCTTCGACGTCATTAGCCCCTATACCAACCAGACTTGCTGGACAACTGCATCAGCCTCGGCTCAAGATGCCATCCGCGCAGTTGAGGCCGCAGAGGCCGCTTTTCCTTCTTGGTCGCAAACAAAACCCACAGTTCGGCGTGATCTCCTGCTAAAGGCAGCCGACATTTTGGAGAGCCGCCTCGAGCAGAATGCCGAATATATGCGAACTGAGATGGGCGCAGATGTGGGTGCGTCACAACATTTCATCGTTCCACTCGGGATCCGCATGTTGAGGGATATCGCGGGGCGCATCACTTCCATTTGTGGTAGCGTCCCCGTTGTCGAAGAGGAGGGCCAAAGTGCCATGATCTACAAGGAGCCCATGGGGGTGATCCTCGGGATTGTGCCCTGGTATGTCCGCCACCATTCATACATGTGAATTGTCGACTGACCTAGCAGGAATGCTCCATATGTGTTTGGAGTCCGTTCTGCAGCCTGTGCACTTGCGGCGGGCAACACGACTATCTTGAAATCCTCTGAGCTCTCTCCTTGCTCCTACTGGGCACTTGCGCGCGCTTTCCATGATGCGGGCCTACCTGCTGGTTGTCTGAATCTGGTATCATGCCGACCCCAGGATGCCCCCGAAGTAGTTAACGCCATGATCGAGCACCCGGCCGTGCGCAAGATCAATTTCACCGGCAGCACGGCCGTAGGCAGAAAGATTGCGGGCGCATGTGGACAGAATCTCAAGCCATGCTTGATGGAGTTGGGAGGCAAGAACAGCGCCATCGTCTGTGCAGATGCTGATATAAAGACTGCTGTAAAGGGAGTGCTTGCGGGCGCTTATCTGAACGTATGTAGCCCGCCCTTACTGCTACCTTATTCTCGCTTCCGATAACTGATTTTGCATAGTCTGGCCAAATCTGCATGGCAACTGATCGCATTCTTGTTCACACCTCCATTGCACCCGTCTTCATCGAGGCGCTGAAGGAGGCACTCACATCCAGCGTAGACCCTGCGTCTCAGCCTCCGACTTTGGTGAACATGGCGTCAAAAGCACGGGTTAGCAATCTCGTCAAAGACGCTCTGGCGGGTGGAGCCCACTTGATTCACGGATCTGTAGACCAAGACTCCGCTCAGCCAGCCAATGGTGTTCGGATGGCGCCTGTGCTCCTGGGTGGTGTCAATGAAAAGATGGCCGCTTGGCAAGAAGAGGCCTTTGCCTCCTTGGCAGCATGCATGATTGTTGAGAGCGATGAAGAGGCAATCAAGATTGCCAATGGTAGTGGCTATGGCTTGTCCGCGGCCGTCTTCACCGAAGATCTACGAAAGGGCCTGGCCATGGCCCGCAAGATCCAGTCAGGGTAGGCCATTACTTCTCTATGCGTCTCTCTCTTAAGAACTGAGGAACTGACTGATGGTTTGCAGTGCCGTTCACATCAACAGTATGACCATTCACGACGAAGCTGTCCTACCGCACGGTGGAGTCAAGAACAGTGGATGGGGCCGGTTCAATGCATCCCAGGGACTGGAGGAATTCCTGGTTACCAAGAGTGTGACATGGATGGATTAATTAAGATTGCGAATCATTACCTTCATGTACAAACTGACATCTAGTTAGCCTGGAAACATTATGATAGTTGCTGCCTCGAGGGCATCAAATGCAGAATGAGAGGTCTGAGGGTTCTCTAGTTATTTTCCAACTGCATTTACCGAGTTTCCAACGGTTCTCCGTATCTCTAACTGAAAAAAACCCTTTTGCTAATCTGAAAAGGACATCGATTGCTCTTGTAAGAATTATTGGTGCCTACTTACTCTCATTCAGAGTTCAGTACTCCGATAGATGCAAGCCTGTCTTTTGACAGGTGATTAGGTTATGTGGTTACTGACATTACGAGGCGACCAACAAGTCTCACAAGTACTACCTAAGCGGCTTTCGATCATGTGCCACACGGCCAAGAGGTTTGCTCTGTGAACCTCAAGCTCACCTTGTCTCCATTACTTAAACTTCAGCAGCCAAATATTGGCGAATACAGCGCCAAAGAGATATTAGAACAGCTTGAGGATGCTGGCCCTCTTACCTATGTCTTTGCTGACCTTAGTGATCCAAATTTTAACTTCTTGATGAATGATTCGCAGTGGTGTGCATATCTGAAACCATGTCATCGGTATACTCTACCGTTGGTCAGGATCGTAAAGTGAATATTCTATTTGGTCAACGTCACAGAGGTACGCTAAAGCCAGCTCCAATCACCTTCGTTGAGTAACTACGAGGCTAACATCCAGGGTAAACCAGTCCAATCGGAGTTACCACTCGCCATTCGCTACTGTGCCGCCTAGGAAAAGTCACTGTCAAAAACGCATATCCGTATCTATCACACCCTCGTGGGATGTCCCACAGTGCTGGAAAATGCCACGAAACAGTCCACGTACCATCACCTGGACGAAGAAACGCCACCAAATTGATTAGCAAGTCTTTCGACAGCTTCATTTGCCAATCTCGGATTTGGACACTTGCCGGCAGCGAATACAACCTTATTGCGGCAGCTACAAAGCGTTTTATGACATCAGGAACGTTCTATTCAGGTCCCTTTCGAACAGTGGGTGATATGCAATGTAGCATATCACATCGTGAAAGAGCCGCGCAAAAGCTGCATTATCGTGCTACGTATACGAGTTACACAACTGGCCTGGAGCTTCATCCGACCCGGTATGTTACCTTGAGAACTGCGTTTGTGTCGTCTCGCCCTGAAAGCACAGTGAGTGAGTAATCAGCCTGCAATCTCTGGATGCGAGACAGACAAGTAATTTTTATCCATAGTTTCTCGAACTCATGGTGCTAACGTCATATCGCCTAGGGGACTTCCCTAGAAATATGACCACATGCACACTGCATGCTAGGTCGTGACAATTCCTACTCATATGCTGTGTGTAGTGACAAAGCTCGACGCCCAACCATAATCCCATGTACCCCCTGAGAATCCAAAAAGGTCACACAATTAGTAGTACAAGTTCTGGATTGCCGATTATGGTGGCTGTCGATAATGGTATATTTCTTTGAAGCAAATTTAGCCAGAAACACGGAGAGGATTTCCCTAGATTGTCACATCATCAACTCTATTCAATGACGAAGGATATGCAAGCATCACATACAACCAGCGGAGACGATGAGAGAAATTATTTCACGTCGGGAAAGGAGATTCCCCAGTCAACATGTCCTGGCCTTGATGGAGATGACCCGGTTGCTCTATGTGGAGAATTTATATCGAATGTGGACTTTCCAGATGTCTTGTGTCCTAAACAATCAGAGAATGAATTGTCGGATTTATCGACCCCAGTTGCGATAGTAGGTATGGCAATGAGGCTCCCTGGGGGTGTTTGCACAGGCGATCAGTTCTGGGATTGTTTGATGAAGAAAGAAGACGGCCTCTGTGAAGTGCCGAACAGCAGATATAATGCAGATTCATCATATCATCCGACAAGAGAGCGCTCGACCGGAACAAAATATGGTTATTTCCTGCAAGAAAACCCGGCATTTTTTGACGCCCAATTCTTTTCTGTGCGAAGCCATAAAGCAACGCACATGGACCCGCAACAGCGGCTCCTCCTCGAGCTGGTTCAGGAATGCCTTGGAGGCGCGGGAGAAACGGACTGGGAAGGTAAAGATATCGACTGCTTTGTTGGTGCTTTTGGAGAAGACTGGTTAGGTTTTGCTCGTAGAGATCCACAGTCTGTCCACAGACATCATGCTCTGGGTACAGGTGATTATGTCTTGGCATATTATGTTTCCTACAGATACGACTTCCGGGGTCCCAGGTACGTGATCAAGTCGGTGCGAAGCTATTCGGCAATAACGAGTAACCTCTGGCTTGGTATTCAGCATGACCCTCAAAGCTGCTGGTTCATCCTCCCTGACTGCACTTCATGAAGCATGCCAGGCACTAGCCTCTGGAGCTTGTTCATCGGCCATAGTTGCTGGACGTAATCTTATCATGCCGCCAACCATGCAACAAGCCTATCTGATAACATGGTGTCATCCCGAAGTGGTGTATGTCGAATATTCGAGGCCAAAGCTGATGGCTATGGCCGAGGTGAAGCAATCAATGTGCTGTACATAAAGCGCCTGAGTAGTGTAAACCAGGCAAATGACCCTATAAGGGCAGTCATTCGATCAACTGCTGTGAACTATGACGGGAAAACAGCAAATATATGTGCCCCATCAATTTAGTCCTAAGAGAGTCTTATTCGACATGCATATCAAAAGGCTGGAATCGAGGATCTTCTGGAAACTGCCTTCGTTGAGTGTCATGGTACTGGAACGGTAGCAGGGGATGCGGCTGAGACAACAGCAATTGACAACGCTTCAAGCCGAACGGGGTAATCATTGGCGCGGTGAGCATCTAATACCTGCCTGCAAGTTGAAGTGCTGAGCAAACCAGGTTAAACCCAACTTTGGCCATTCAGAGGGTGCATCGGGTATCACGAGTCTCATCAAAGCTATCCTGTCACTCGAACGCTCAACAATCCCACCAAACATACACTTGGACACTTTGAATCCTCAAATACTAGATTTCAACTTAACTGTTCCTTTAGAGCCCATGGAACCCGCCGATCGACGCCAAAGGGTTAGTATCAATGAGTTTGGCATAGGCGGTGCGAACGCCCATGTCATATTGTATTCTGCAGCCGAATTCTGTGGCAACATCCAGAAATCGCGATTTTCCGAGTCAGTAGACGGGGCTAAGCTGCTTGTGGTCTCGGCTCAAGACTCAAAGAGTCTGGAGAGTCGCATTGAGCAGGTGTGTGACTATGCAAATAAATTCCCTGGTCAACTATGCAATATTCCGTTCACTCTAGGAGTAAGAAGACAGCATTTGTCTCACCGAGCATTCTGTGTGACTTCCTCAAAGATTCCCTTACGATCTTCGATGTTTCAGAAATCCTGCACTCAAGTCTCACCTCAGCTTTCATTCGTTTTTACTGGCCAAGGATCCCAGTGGGCAGATATGGGGAAAGGACTATTGGAGACATATCCTTGTTTTCAGGGAGACATGTTAAGGCTTGAGAGTGCTCTCAAAGGTCTTGAAGATCCACCATCATGGTCTCTTCGGCGTGAGTCGGGTGTTCTCTCTACATTGGCAAGCACGAACTGTTTACTAACAGGCATTAAAGAGGAGCTGTGCCGGACAAGCGACTCACGCGTTACTGAAGCGGAATTCTGTCAGCCACTCTGTACTGCCATTCAGATAGGGCTTGTCAACTTTCTCGCGTCCTGGGGAGTGCGGCCAGCTGCTGTAGTTGGACACTCCAGCGGTGAAATTGCAGCTGCTTATGCAGCAGGTGCTATCTCGGAGAAGTCGGCTATAATACTCGCATATTATCCCGGTAAGTTGGCCAAACAACAAATGGGTCTGGAAGAAATGGCGAATATTGGCCTCTCTAGCGAAGAGGTAACTCCATATCTCGAAGACGGAGTGTTAATCGCATGCAGGAATAATCCTCAAATTGTCACTCTATTCGGTGAAAAAAGTAAAATCGATATTATAGTGGAAAGGATTAGAAATGATCTTTCTGATATCTTTCGCAGAAACCTTGGGCTCAAGATCGCATATCACTCATGTGAGTCACCAGTATATCGCAACAAAGGGAACTGGTATCTACATGGCATCAGAACAAATGAAGTTCCTGAGGCCCTTTTATGAGGCCTCTCTAGTAGGTCACTTGCAAATGAACTCCCATATGTCACCGATGCTGTCAAGTGTCACTACGGCTATGGTGACGGACCCTCAGGAGCTTGGCGCGGCCTACTGGAGAAGGAACCTTGAGTCTCCCGTTCTTTTTAGTGATGCAGTGAGCAATCTGCTAAAGGAAGACAAGGCCCATTTACTACTCGACATAGGTCCCCATTCTGCATTGTCAGGTCCTCTAAAGCAGATATTTCGTAGCCACAGCCTGAAGCATGGCCCACTCTATATTCCAACCTTGAAACGTTGCGATGATACTAGCTTCGATGCTAGCTGTGAAGTTCAGCTCTTGTCCGCGCTAGGCTTGATCCACAGCAACGGGGCTATTGTTGACCTGATGTCAGTGAACGGTAGGGGGCAAGTCGTGACAGGCCTCCCGCCGTATCCCTGGCAACATGGTACACGATACTGGAATGAAAGCCGTTTGGTGAGAGACTGGAGGTTGAGCAGTATGCCACCTCATGAACTGCTCGGCTCACGGTGTCCCGAGTCTACAGATCTTGGGCCTTCGTGGCGGAACATACTTGGCATTGAGGCAACCCATGGCTTGCTGACCATATCCTCCGGGGTCATGTAGTATTGCCTGCAGCTGATTACATCGCTATGACAGATGAAGCAGTCCGACAGCTCAACCCAGGCACTGAGGGGTTTACTGCGAAAAACGTTCTATTCAAGAGCCCTCTAGTCATAGATGAGGCGGGTAGCGTGGAAATTATCACGTCTCTCAAGCCAGTTGCCTTCAATGACGTGATGAATTCAGAATGGTATTCATTCGTAATAGCAAGCCACGATGGCAATGTTTGGACGGAGATCTGCAGCGGTCAAGTCCGTGCAGGAGCCGAGCATGAGCCTTGCCAGATCAAAATTCCGCGTTATGCGCGCCAAGTCTCTTCTGAGAAATGGTATGAGGCTCTGTCAGAACTTGGGCTTTCTTATGGTCCCCAGTTTCGCGGTTTACAGAATATCTCTGCCGACCCGTTAGGTGGAAGAGCCTCAGCCAGTGTGAACCTAGTGAAGCAACATGAGAGTCATTAGTTTATCCACCCAACTATGCTTGATCAATGTCTTCAGCTTATGAGTGTCGCAGGCGCAGCAGGAGTTTGCCAACGCATTATCAAGAATGCCATTCCCTCTTCTCTTGAGCACTTGCTCGCCAGGAGCGTTGGCGAATACATGGACGTTAATGTGAATGTCAAACAGGAAACTAGTAACTTCCTAGCTGGGATTGCAACTGCTATGTTCGAAGGCAAGGTCGTACTTTCCATGAAGCGCGGGATGCTCTTCTCACATGGCAGTGAAGGAAATATAAGGCCCATCCCACTTATGGTTCACGATCTAACAGGACAAAATATCGTGAATTAACAGTTTTCATCATGATCAAGCGTCTCCCAGATTGTAGCTTCGACAACCTGTGCTGCATGCTATGTATATTCCCAGATCATCAATCGGATTTCCGGCGGAAGAAGTTTGAAGTCAATCTTTGGGGGACTTTCCAGATTTTGGTTCATCTCCATTAGAGGGTGCCCTCCTAGCATCTCGGTTGGTCAGGGCGGTTAGCAGAAAAAAGAATATCGCAATTAGAGATGTTCGAGAAGCTTGACTGTCTCATATCATTCATAGCTGAGCCGGACAGCCAGGAAAACATGGAAGGCAGTCAGAGTCTCAGGCGGAGCTCGGAGCTCGGAGATAGTCATTGCTTGAAAGAAGTTCTGGAGGTGGATCATCTTTCAGGAGGCATCCATCCCTAACAATCAACAGTCACATAATCTGCTGCGACTTCTGCCGCCTTACATAACTATGAGGGCTGATTCAGTATTGTCCGAAATTCCCGCGGCGGGTCCTTTCGATCTTCAGCTGGGCACCAACCCCACTCTAGGATCCCAGCACCATTGACGACTAAATCTTTCCTCAGCGTGCCTACCTTTTCTAGAGATCACTTAAGGGGCCGCCATCCTTCAAGAGTAGGAAGTCAACTTACGAACGTTTGAAACCAAGAGCAACATTTGGTCTCGTTCTACCAATTGATAAATGACGCGACTTAGGAAGGGATGTCTGAGATTAGGCAGCAGGATCTTGGCTGCACTGGTGTTTGAAGTGATCTCAGAACGCTAAGCAATGGATTGTCAAGGTTAAAAACGGGTGAACTGGGTGAGCTGGGTGAGCAGCTCACCCTTCCTCGCACAAGTAAGAGAGACGCCGCGAGCGCGCACGTGCATGAAGCAATATAATTGCAATCAAGCGATTGGAGAAGACCAAGGCCTATCCATGCAGTGTGATTCGATCTGCATCTATCACGCAGATCTTGCTGTGTGGCGTAGCTGGATTATCATACCAAAGGTGGATGCTTGTACAGGGCTAAGCAGGGCAAGAAGCATCCATGTGACCGGTTTGATGTCCCTGGTATATATGCTAGTCCTCCACCATTGTTGGCACTATACCTTCTTAACGATATTATTCAACTGCGTTTCCCAAAATTGTCTTTTACTCCTTACCTCTAAGAACGCGAAGCCGCCAACAAGATGAAGTTACTCGCCGTCATCTCTGCGATTGTCTTCGCCGCTGTTGCGACAGCAGGAACTACGCACACCAATAGTCAATTGGGGAGCGGGGGTGGAAAAAGACAAGTATGTACCCCTTCCCCTAGTGAAAGCACTTGAGAATATATAGGCTGACAGAGATGGAACATGAATAGGATGTATGTATTTGATTTTCTTATTCATAAGATGACTCGATAATACATAGGCTGACAAGATGGAACATGGACAGGATGTATGTGATCAACACCCTTATTTACAAGTTAACTTGAGAATATATTGACTAACAAAAACGGGACATGAGATAGCCTGTATGTACTTAATCCCTCTTGTTCAAGGTGACTTAAGAATATATAGTCTGACAAAGATGCGATATAAATAGAATGTATGTACTTGTCCCTGTCTTTTTGAGTGTGAACTTGAGAATATATAAGCTGATAAAGATGGAATATGGATAGCCTGTACGTCTTTGATTCCTCTCTTTCAAAACAACTTAAGCATATATAGGCTGACAAAGATGGATTATGGATAGTGTGTATGTACTTGTTCCCCATCTCTTTGAATAATAACTTGAGGTTATATGGCTGATGAAATGAAAACGGATAGGATGTATGTATTTAAGTCTTCTGTACTTGCAAGTTGACTTGAAAATATATAGACTGACAGTGACGGGATATGAATAGCCTGTATGTACTTGACCTCTTCCTTTCAAGATGACTTGAGAATTACATAAGCTGATTGATAGGATGTGAATAGTTGGTATATCTCTGATTCTATTCTTTTGAAAGGTAATTTGGAAACATATAGGCTGACAGAGATGGGATGTGGATAGACTGTATGTGTTTATCCCCTGTCTCTTTAAGTAATAACTTAAGAATATTGAGGCTGACAGAAACGGGATATGAATAGCGTAACTGTGCTGTCCTCTACAAGGCGACTTGAGAATATATAGGCTGGTAGAGTTGGGATGTAAACATTGTGTGTGTGTGTATGTGTGTGTGTGTGTGTGTTTACCCCTTTTTTTGAGGAGCGACTTGAGACTCCAATACTAATTCAGCCTAGTAAATACACACTTGGCTGCGACATCTAGTTATATGATACCACAGTATGACTCACCAACGTGAGGACTTATCTCCGCGGAGAATGTTGTTTGATGGTTGAGACTAGAGTTGGAGTTTCTTCAGATGCCTTGGTTTAGGTTTTCCCTATTTAGTTAGGTTTCCCTATACTGTTATGCAAATGCAAAGGCTCTTTTGTTGTGTTTCGAAATATGCTAATATAATATTGATACCGACTTTACCCAAAATAATAATTTGTCAGGGTAGAAAGCCTGTTAATTAAGTAAGAAATTAGTAGACATGGGTCATAGATCAAAGGTGGGTGGGGGGTGGGGTGTGTGTGTGTGGAAGATATTCTTCCAAACAGAAACAAACACTGCAAAAACGCCATTACGATATGCAAATCACCTTTGAAGGGAGTCCTGCAGATGTCACTGTGCTTGAAAGTGAGTTCAGGCCATCAAGGCGATGATATGGAAAGCGCACTGATTACTCTATGTATAGGATGGCGTCCTTGCCGGAATGAGCTATGAGGATTGGCAGGCATCAATGGCCCCCAAGGTCCAGGGTACATGGAACTTGCACGAGGCGGTCTCAAGGGAAGACTTGGACTTCTTCGTTCTATTTGGCTCTGTAGTTGGACTTTGTGGCAATGCCGGGCAGACTAACTATGCAGCTGCAAACACGTTCCTTAAAGGTTTCTCACGATATCGTCGCCAGCTTGGTCTGCCATCTTCAGTTCTGGTGTTGGGAGCCGTTGGCGAAGTTGGCCTGATCAGCCGACAGCCAAAACTCCTACAGTCAATGCAAGCTGTTGGCACGTGGCTTTTGGATGAGGATGAGGTATTGAAGGGTTTGGAAATATGTATCCTGCGATCCCATGATCCGATCGCCGCTGATCCAGGAACTCAGACATCATCATCCGTCATAATTGGACTTGGATATACCAGACCACTTTCCGATGCATCGGTCCGTCTTTTATGGCATAGTCAAGACGCTCGATTTGCACCTTACGCAAACGTCGACGCTTCCTCTGAGCAGCGGCCCGGTGAAACCAGTAGCAACATTCTCAGAGGTTTAACCCTCCGAGCAGATAGAGACCCAAGTATCATGCTCACAGAAGAATCTCGCAGCCTTATTATACAGGAAACCGTTCGCTTGATTTCCTCGTCACTCATCGGATCGCAAGCTCTCGACGAAGGACAGAAATGGGAGATGCCGATTGATTCCCTTGCATCACTCGAAATCAAGAGCTGGGTGCGGCGGAATATGGATCTCGATGTCAGTGTGGCTGAGATTGCTAAATCACGAACGGTTGGAGGGTGGGCGCTTATGACTGCAGATCGCTTGGTAGCGCATTATAAAGCTAAGCTTGAGAATCCGAGAAGTGGTATGCTTTATGAAGGGACAGCAGAGATATTTAGCGAGGTGGTGGACTAGGTTAGTAGCTGGTGAGCTATGAAACAAATTAGTTTGCTTCTTCGAGACAGTAGATTGTCATAGTCTAAATAGCTACTACTACGATATGGTACTAGTAGCTCTACGATGCTAAATTAATAAGACTATTCAGTCCATATATTACTCTGTGCAAAAGCAAGCCCGAAAAACATACACAACTTTTCGGTGTATCTAATTGCCAATAATAACCCCGAGAGTTCTTCATGCTCAGAAGCTAACTGATTCTCTCGGGGTATCTATTCCCGAAACCTCACTCTCTCACTTTCTCTCTCGCCCGTCCGTCCGTCAACCCCGTACTGACCAGTTACATACATACATACATACATACATACATACGACGCTAAGAAAACAGATCTTAGATTTAATGTGTTCAAGCACTAGACGGCAAATTAAATGCATCATTATCTATCCCTGCAGAATGCAGTGAGTGAGTGCAAATCCCTACAAAATAAAAGAAAGAAGAGACGGCAATCGAACCCTCCCAAAAAGGCAAGTTCAATAAACGACGGGATCTACGTCATTACGTAGTTTGAGTCGTCGGAATTCAATCACGGGATGCTGATTGGTGGGAAAGCGAGGTTGGTGGTCAATTGCCGGGGGGGTCAGGTGACGGGAAGAGGATCGGTTGTTGGTATGTACGGAGTACTCTGTATGTATGTTTGTGTTATGTATGTGTTGTATGCTGAAGCTCTGTATGCTTATGTAGCATTATGTTCTTCAGGGGTTATGCTGAGTGAGTAGTGGTGTGGTGGGCTGATCTGAGATTCGGTGGTGTGGTGATGATGATGGTGGTAGATGGGGGTACTCGGTCCGAGGTAAATATTCGAGGCAGGCACCTGGGGTAACATTTGCATTCTTCAGGGTGTCTACCCTGTCTTTGTTTGTATGGGTGTATGTTATGTATGGGGTATTTTTGATACTTAGTAAATAGGGTGTATTGATAGTATATAGATAGATGATTTGGGCCTTATTGATGGCAGGTATATTTATTGTTGTGGTGAATATATATTGTGAGACCAAGATACTAATATCTTCAAGAGCGACAGTATATTCCCAATTTATCTAGACATCTTATTCATGGACCTTGATGGACCATACACCCCATCATCTCAAAATTGAGACGAAATTTGAATCCGGGGTGAGAGTTTAAATCCAAGAGCATGACGTGCCGCGCTGACTTAAGCCTACGATTTCATTTGCTGAGAAGGTTGCTTCTGGATTTCCAGGCATGTGAAAGTCAGGGAGAGTTCTAGTTTCTTTTTGCCATCAAAGTACTAGTAAGTAAGAGTATGTCATGGGAAGAACACCGCAGGGGTCAGCTTGCAGCTCCTGGTGACGGACAACTTCTGCATGTGATGGTCCCTGGAAAACTCACTAGTATTATGTCAAAGACAAGGGGGAGATCGAATGTCTGTCTACTGTCTACTGTCTATTTATTGTAGTATAACTAAACCCGTCATTCAGTCAGTCATAAAGCACAGGCCAGACAGACAGATGTACAGACAGAAAAAGACCCAATCGAATCCACTTTAGACATTTTGAAGAATCTCAAAAAGTAGAAGGGAACATTACCGGACCGGAAAAGGGAGAAGAAGATAGAAGATAAGAGGAGGGGGGTCATAGAACGGTAATCGTACGGTACATACCAAGTTGGAAATTGAATGGGGGAAAGAAAGAAAGATGAGCCTCGGCCGAGTGAGCAACTCAGTCTCTCCCCCGTCGGCTTCTGAATGCCTGGCTCTCTCTCTCTCTTTTCCCCCGGATCTCCTGCTGCTTAAAGATCTACTTGTTCCTACCTGCTTTTTGACCCTTTAAACTCCTCTTCTCTCATCTCTTTTCTTTCCCCCATATTCATCTTCTGATTTCTCTTTCCTCACCCTCTCCTCCTACATCTTCTTCTCACAACGATGGCAACCGCCCCTAGAGTAATCGTTGTCGGCGGTGGATGTGAGTTGATCTTCACCGCCAGGAAATAGCTTTCCCCGCATTGCTGACCATTGCCTCGTCTCTCAGTGTCCGGGCTTAGTGCCGCCCACACCGTCTACCTTAACGGTGGAAATGTTCTCGTTCTAGACAAGCAGGGTATGTTTATAATCCACAGCTCCCTGCGATAACTGCAGCCGCATTATTGTTATTTATATTTAAGGACCTGGGATCTGACCCAAACAGCCTTCTTTGGTGGCAACTCCACCAAGGCCACTTCCGGCATTAACGGCGCCTTGACGCGCACCCAGGTCGACTTGGGCATCGCCGACAGCGTCAAGCAATTCTACGATGATACCCTTAAGTCCGCCAGAGATAAGGCTCGTCCCGAGCTCATCAAGGTCCTCACATACAAGTCTGCCGCTGCCGTCGAGTGGTTGCAGGATGTTTTCAACCTCGATCTCACCCTTGTTTCCCGGCTAGGGTAAGTCTTGCGCTCTCCTTGTTCATCGAACTTTTGTTGTCGCGCAACCCATGCTAATTTCTGCAGCGGTCACTCCCAGCCCCGTACGCATCGTGGCCACGATGCCAAGTTCCCGGGAATGGCCATCACATACGCCCTCATGCAACGGTTAGAAGAGCTCACCGAGGCTGAGCCCGACCGTGTTCAGATCATCAAGAAGGCCCGTGTGACCTCCATCAACAAGTCCGGAAACAATGTCACCGGTGTTACCTACGAGTACGATGGCGAGACGCATACTGCCGAGGGTGTGGTCGTTCTGGCCACTGGTGGTTACGCTGCTGACTTCGGTGATGGCTCGCTCCTGAAGCAGCACCGCCCCGACACCTTCGGTCTGTCCAGCACCAACGGCACTCACGCCACTGGTGATGGTCAGAAGATGCTGATGGAGATCGGTGCCAACGGTATCGACATGGATAAGGTTCAGGTGCACCCCACGGGTCTTGTCGACCCCAAGGACCCCACCGCCAAGTTCAAGTTCCTGGCTGCTGAAGCCCTGCGTGGTGAGGGTGGTCTCCTCCTCAACTCGGACGGCCAGCGGTTCTCCGATGAACTGGGTCACCGTGACTATGTCTCGGGACAGATGTGGAAGGAGAAGGAGAAGGGCAAGTGGCCCATCCGCCTCATCCTCAACAGCAAGGCATCCAATGTCCTGGACTTCCACACCCGCCACTACTCCGGCCGTGGTCTGATGAAGAAGATGACCGGCAAGGAGCTTGCCAAGGAGATCGGTTGCGGCGAGGCTGCCCTCAAGAAGACTTTCGACGACTACAACCTGATCGCCGAGGGCAAGAAGAAGGACCCTTGGAACAAGCGTTTCTTCCACAACCTGCCCTTCAGCATCGATGACGACTTCCACGTGGCTCTGATGGAGCCTGTCCTGCACTTCACCATGGGTGGTATTGAGATCAACGAGCACGCCCAGGTTCTCAACTCCGAGAAGGAGGCCTTCGACGGCCTCTACGCCTGTGGTGAGCTGGCTGGTGGTGTCCACGGTGCTAACCGTCTGGGTGGTTCTTCTCTGCTGGGCTGTGTCGTGTACGGTCGCGTTGCAGGTGACAGCGCCAGCCAGTACCTCTTCCAGAAGCTGCTTTCCGGCGGTGCCTCCACGGCCGCCCAGCGTCTGGGCCAGATCTCCCTGCACATCGACCCATCCACGCCCGGCAAGATCTCCGTCGAATGGGGCGGCTCCGGCGCTGCCGGTGGCCAGGTCGCCGCCGGTGCTGGAACCCCCGCTGCCGCGGCCCAGGGCGCCAAGTCGGCTGCCACCCCTGCCGGTGCCGCAGAGACGGCCAAGCCCAAGGAGCCCGCCAAGTTCAGCATTCCCGAGAAGGAATACTCGATGGAGGAGATCGCCAAGCACAACAAGAAGGACGACCTGTGGATTGTCGTCAAGGGTGTCGTGCTGGATGTGACCAACTGGCTCGACGAGCACCCTGGTGGTGCTAACGCTCTCTTCAACTTCATGGGCCGCGATGCCACAGAAGGTATGTTTTCCACAACTTTTTTCCATCCCCATCACCGAATCATATATACTAACTTCATACCTCTATTACAGAGTTCGCAATGCTCCACGACGACGAGGTCATCCCCAAGTACGCCGGTCACATTGTGATCGGCCGTGTCAAGGGCCAGACCCCTAGCCTTGAGCTGTAAAACATTTCCATGAAAATTAGAATTGGAGATATACACGTTGGAGAAAGAGAAACTAACCCGGAAGAGATCACATACCCATTTTTGTCTTTTATTTATTTGTCGAGCATGTTCATGTCCACACGTCCTTGGTGATGATGAATAGTCTTTTCTTGTTTCAGGAGTCACTAATCTGTCCTTAGTATGTAAGATACAATCTTATTCAATTGTTCTTAGACAGTCACCAGCAGATATTGTAAGACATTGGTAATGAGAGTAGCACATAACTAGTAAATAGTAGCTGCAACGATACCAGTACTACTAGTATATCATGATCAGTGAAAATCGAATAGAACATGTATATATATATATATCCTAGCGGCAGGGATCCATTTATCCGATCCGATCATTATAATACAATATATCAACCAACATATGAATAAGCCGGGAGTACTAGTCCTCGGCAAATCCGGGTCATCATTGCTGCATGTGCCTCAAGATCATCTTCAGACGTCGCACGGCAGGCCCCTCCTCCGTGCTTCCGGAGTCCTTATTGGATTCCAGTTCCTTGGCCGCAGCCTCTAGCGTAGGGCGCAGGTAGCCCCAGACTTCGTCATGGTATCGGTCCTCGACACTCAGCCAGTCCGCTGCGCCGGGGAGACCGGTCAGTACGGTGTCTCGCAGGGTGGCTACGTCGGAATGACTTTCTGGGGGGAGGGTGTCTAGAAAGTCGCCAATGTCTGGGACTAGACTGCGGGATGTCAATGTGTTATTGCCGGACGATGTCGGGGGTGTAAGACGGCGGAAGGACTCGATCATTTCTTTTTCTTCGGCCGTGAGTTGCATTGGTAGCAGCTCTGTTTCGACGAGCTCGGCGGGCTCGTCGGCTGTGGGAGGGAATTCGGGATCGAAGGTCTGGTCTGAGAGGAGGGATACGACTGCGTCGCCGTCGGATGGGAGGAGAGAGGGTCGGTCGGGTAGGAATCTTTGTTCGAGTGTGTTTGGATTAGTTGCATCGCTGGAGAATGGGTCCGTTGATGTATCTCTTGCTTTTCCTTTCCCTTTCCCCTTGCTGGTAGTGTCGTCGGCGTCTAGACCTGCAATGAAGCTGTCATTGTTTCCAACAAGGGATTCCGCGCCGTAAGTACGCTGGAATTCATCTTCCGAGAGTGGAAGGAGCTGGAACCCTCCCTGTTGCGTAGTAGAAGATGAGCGAAACGTTTCAGCAGGAGCAGGTAGTGAGGAATTCCCAGTTGAGGAAGAGGCAGAAGTAGTAGAAGTATCTGTGTATTGTTGGGCTGCGGCTAGCGCCGAGTGTGACGATGAGTGCCCGGCCTTACCGCTGCCCGCCAGCAGTTGAGCGGAATCTGCGGACGAGCCAGGGGCGGAAAAAACGTTCTTTGCAAGCCCGGAAGCTGAGTTTTGGATTCGAGTAGCTAGAGAAGGGCTCTCCGGACGGTCATTGGTACCTTGGGAGGAATTGGTCTCGTTGCGGTGAGTGTTTGCGACCTTGTCGTCACTGCCCCGCTTCTTCTGGTCGGACATGGCGGGCGGGGAGAGTCAGTGCTACTGCCAGTGAGGTACAGTACCAGGTCGCCAACAACATTAAGACAAGTACAAACAATTCAAAAGAGAAATTTCAGATTGAGTAGAAAAAGCAAAGATAAGAGAGGCTAGTATTTTTTTCCTGTCGATATTCCGGACGAGAATGATTAGTTGTTCGGCCCAAGGGAGTCGGGATCCGTAGGAAGGCGTGCATGTGAGGAAGCCTCAGGCCAGAAAGGTGCGGGAGTCCTGAGATTCCAGGCAACGCGGCAGGAACCATGAAGCTTGCAACGGTTTAGTAGTATTGAAGATTGAGTGGCAGAGACTGGGTTGAGGAGGGTTAATTCCTCAATCAGAAGATATTTCTCGCATTCCTGGCTCCTGTGTATATGATCCGACCGAGATCCACCTACTACCAACTACCAGTGAACCCCTCAATCCTTTGTTGGCCTCAATAGTGGTCAGTAGTATATCTTGTTAGGCGAGCTTCATCATGCTGGATCAACAAAAAGGCAACCGCCAGGACAATCTTGTTCCTTGAAGACGAGGGAGAAGACCAGGTCAATTATGGAGTGAATTTTCAAGTGCCTTTCTTCAACCCAGAAGAAGGTCCTTCACGGAGGAGTATGGCATGCATAATACAATGGATGCAGATAAGAAGAAGAAGAACAACCACAATGGGTTGCAATGGAGGGGACAGTGGTTGATGTCAGCGCCCGGCACAGTTAGGTTAGGTTAACTAGTACGGAGGAGTTAACTAAGGTTGGGTTGAATGCTGCGTGTGGATTTACGGGCAGCCACTTTGCTCCCCACCACCGATTGAACGGGTCTTGCCAAACCACCGCCTCACCTCAACCACCACCACATCAGTTCTCTCTCTCTCTCTCTCTCCCTCTCCCTCTCCTCCACCACTTCTCCTCCATCTCGCTCCATCATCGTCATCCTCTTCTCCCTCCCACTTTACCCGCCCTCAACTACTCTTCCCCTCCACCCCCCTCTCTCTCCCCCTCCTTCTTTCTACCCTTTTCAAACCGACCGTCGTCTTTTAGTACGGCTGGTCTGTGCTTGTCTTTGGGTTTTCCATTATTATTAGACACTAACACAAACACAACCCACTTATTCAAATCCTCAAGAAGAGAAGGGTGTCTCTTCCCGACTTCAAAGTCACAAACCAAAAAGACCAAAAACAAAAATCCCTATCTCCCCACCCCCACCATTTTAACTACACCCTCTTCCTCCTCTTCTTCTTATCCTGATCAGCTCCTGGCTGTCAATCATTCGTCTTCTCCAGCCTGCAAGTGACTCAGCCCGGTTCTCCGCCTCTCACGTTGCTGTCGGACGTTGCGGCCTTGCTTCCTTCCTCCCCCTCTCCGCCTCTGCCATTCCCTAGTCGGATATTCCAGACCTTCCTTGTTTCCACTTGGGGCTCACTTCGATCTCGATTCCTCGCCGCCTGTCCGTCATTCCCACCGCTACCCCTCTTCTTTTCGCTTCGAACGAAATTAGACAGTCGTGTGGAAAAAAAGTTCTCTTCAGCTCGAATCTTTCGCAGCACGAAATCGCTATCTGCAGACCCCGCCTTAGCCGTCGCAAACGAGATCCTCGATTTGCGGCCCCTAGACCCTTCCTTTCTTGGTCGCTGATAGACAACCCCGACAAAGGGTAATTGCAAAAGAAAATGGTAGACCGGGAACCAGGTACCCCTACCTGGAAGTTCACCCAGTGAGTAGAATCCCTTGCATGTCTGTGCTGCAGTGGTGCTAGTTGTTTCCGGTGGATGCGCCGACTTTCGATCTTTGTCGTGTTTTCTTCTACATTCGGGTGAGGATCGAGTGGGTGTCGGGATATTGTGGGGGACTGCGATATCCGCCCGTTCTCGAGGAAATGACTTGCCCGCAGTATCCGATTCTTGCTAATCATTCTCTAGATGTTTTGGTGACAAGGGAGACGTGGAAGATATTACGGAAGGTACGTCTAAACACCTCATATTCCTGAATATTGAGCTCCCGCTCTACAACCCCGCACCATATCCCTTCAGAGCCGGCTAACATTGCTCGCTCGCTCGCTCGCTCGCCAGCGGATATCATCTCAACCGTCGAGTTTGACCACACCGGAAACTACCTAGCTACGGGTGACAAGGGAGGACGAGTGGTGTTATTCGAGAGAAACGAAACGGTAGCAATGCCCTCGCCTTCTCTATGTCCTCAGGACAGACGTCTCTAACAGTCTGTCAGAAAAAAACCTGCGAATATAAATTTCACACCGAATTCCAATCGCACGAGCCGGAGTTTGACTACCTAAAATCTTTGGAGATCGAAGAGAAGATCAACAAAATTAAGTGGTGCAGACGGCAAAATGCCTCCCACTTCCTCCTCTCGACCAACGATAAGACAATAAAGCTTTGGAAAGTCTTTGACAAGTCATTGAAGGTTGTCGCAGAGAACAACCTCTCGAGTGAACTGACTCCTGCGGGTGTCGGTGGTGGAGGGGCTCCCCGTGCGCCCCGTGTATCGTTCAAGGATCCCTCGATGCTGAAGCTGCCCCGCATGACACACCATGACACGGTTGTAGCGGCTGTACCTCGGCGGACGTACGCTAACGCACACGCATACCACATTAACAGCATCTCCGTCAACAGTGATGGCGAGACGTTTATCAGCAGCGACGATCTTCGGATCAACCTCTGGAACCTTAATATTCAGGATCAGAGCTTTAACATTGTGGATATTAAACCTGCGAACATGGAGGAGCTCACGGAAGTTATCACGGCTGCAGAGTTCCACCCGCAAAGTTGCAACTGGTTCATGTATGCCAGTTCCAAGGGCACAATCAAGCTTGCCGACATGCGGCAGCGAGCATTGTGCGATGAACATTCCAAGCGTACGTGTTGTTCTTCTGCAATTATCCCCTTCGTCTGCAAGACACCCTCCTCTGACATGGATTCTTTCGTATAGTCTTCGAGCAAGAAGAGGATGCCTCCTCCCGTTCCTTCTTTTCAGAGATCATATCATCCATTTCCGACGTCCGGTTTTCACATGACGGTCGCTACATTGTGTCCAGGGATTACTTGACCGTCAAGATCTGGGATGTCAACATGGAAAAGCAACCCGTCAAGACGATCCCCATCCACGAGCACTTGCGACCGCGGTTGTGTGATACATACGAGAATGATAGCATTTTCGACAAGTTCGAGGTTGTTTTCTCGGGCGATGCGGAGAACGTGATGACTGGAAGTTACAACAACAACTTCATGATCTACCCCACCGACCCTAGCAAGGAGACGGAGATCGTACTGCAGGCGGATAAGTCTGCTTTCAAGGCGAAGAAGGTTGGCGTCCCCACGCCGATGAACAAGGGTGCGAATGGAAAGAAGAATGGGTCCAGAGCAGGCAGCCCTGTTGGCGTCGGCGGGCGCATGAAGAAGGAGACCGATGCGGATCAAATCGACTTTAACAAGAAGATCCTGCACATGAGCTGGCATCCTTATGAGGACAGTATTGCCATTGCTGCTACAAATAACGTACGTTTGCCCCGCCTTTTGATCATATCGGACATGTACTGACCCTAATGCGTGTACAGCTGTTTGTCTTCTCTGCGTTGTAAGTATGTGACAAAGTGGCCATAATTTTTAATGGACAAACATGTCATTATGTGATTCAAAGATAAGACAGGTATAAGACAATTAAGGTTTCCTAGCAGCAGCAGTTGCAAATCCAAAATTAAGTTGTCAGTTCCGGTTAAGCATCCATTTCTTGTGCTGTTTCTGTTGGAGTTGATTGTGAAGTGCTTCGTCGTTCCCCCGTTCCTCTTTTAGCCCATTTTTCTTCTTCTCTCCATCCTTGGACGAGGTGTCCGTTCTATCCTGTCTGTTTCGAGGAACATTGTGATGTTCTGTGGTCTTTTGGGGAGGCGTTTAGTGGGAACCTGATATAGAGAAAGACAACGTGGAGCCTGCAGAGGATATCTTAGTCCATTTGGCTGCCCGACGCCTGTTGAACTAATATGCTGTTGTGACGAGGCCATGGTCTCTGTTACCTATTGGGGAGGCGTCGGGCGATTTGACTGCTTATGGCGTGATGAATCCACATCCGGTGCCAATGGAGCAAGACTCCAAATGGCCCGGACTCGATGGTGATACTACTACCTTAGTGCCCCTGAGTAGATACTGAATCTATGGGAAGTTTGAGAGTTCGTTCTTAGCAGCAGCAGCAGCAGCAGCAGTATTACTTTAATTCATGTTGATGGTACATATAGTATAGTGGGTGAGTGATGCCAAGTACTGCGTAGGCGAAAATCTGGAGACAATCAAAATTTTCCACACAACTTGTTACACAGACATGTCTTGCATAAAGATTATGCTTTATATCGGACCTATTTGCAGTCGAACTTACCTGATGCGGAGTAAAAACCTACAGCTCACTGCCACTCAGCAGCTACTAAGGTTCAACTCGGACCGTCTCCAATTTTGTGTTACAGAGAGTTTAGAGAGACAGAGACCGTCAGTCAATGACGTCGGGGCCACACCCACGGGGATGCATCACTGTCGGGCCAATCAGCTTGCAGTGACTGTCGCGACCGGAAAATCATGGACCCGAGGGGCGGCACTATTGACTGGAAAGGGGTTAGTGCCATCAAAGGCCTCTCCGCCTTCTGTCGGGAGACCATCCGTGATCGGTTGCGCGCAAACCATCATCACCTACTGGATCTGCTGCTCGCTGGCTCTTCACCTCTTGTTTCGCTTTCTTATTCTTCCCTCTATCCCAGATCCTATTCATCGCTCCTGCTGATCGTCTTTTCGTGGCTTCCTGCGTCTTCTTTCCCGTCTGCTATTGGCAGAATCTCTAGCACAGTGATGTCGCTGTGAAATCCAGCTCGAGGAAGAGATACCCCAAGCCGTGTGTAGAGGAACCACCGTGCGAGACCCTCATCCGCAGGCTCACTCCCTTCTTTCACCTTTGCCCTGCAGTTGCCTAGTGCTCTGAGCAGGTATCAGTACTGTCAACATTCTATTCATGTGCCACTGACCATGAACTCTTCTGGCAATGATAACTGGCACCCCGGTGGCCCGCCAGCGCACCCGGGGATGGATCAGATGAACCAAGGACCTCGTCCTCTGGGCTCCTTCAGGTATGTCACTGCTGTCTCTAGCGACTTTTGCGTCTTTGTCAACAGCGATGACTGACTGGTGTCTCTTTCGCGATCTAGCCAAAACCCACCGCCTCAGCAAGGCCCGTCTTCGCAGCCCACGGGACCGGTTCTCCCCCCTCCAGCTGGTTAGGATTTTCACCTCCCTCCTGATTTGTCTCGCGATATGGTTTACAAAGCGTTTTCGGACGTTTGGCTGACCCCTGCGCTGCTGTTAGGTCCTTACCACCCTGCGAATCAACCTGGCGGACACTCTCTTCCCGGCCTGGCGGAGCTGAGCCAGGGCCATGCTGGTCCACATCAGCCTCCCGCTTACGGCCAACACCCTGCGGCTCCTGGTCATAATGCTGGTCACTCGCTCCCGGGTATCGGGCAAGCCATGCAACATCCCTCGCCCCAGTCCATCAACCGGGAACGCGAGCGAGACTCTAGAGAACGCGAGCTGATTGAGAGACAGCGCCAGGAGGAGATGGCCCACAGAGAGCGCGAGCAGCGCGAACGCGAACAGATTGAGAGACAACAGCTGGAGCGACAACGTGAACAGCAGCACCACCCGGTCCAGAGCCACACAGGGTCTATCCCTATCCATCAGCCGGTGGCCTCGAAAGTGCCAAACTCCATTCACGGCCCCAATGGTCTGCTGTCAAATCTTGGGTCCAACCCGTCAAATGGCCCGCAAGGTTCGATGCCTACGCCGGGAGGGCCTGGTGGCATCTACGGCCCACAGATGCAGCATGGTGAGGGTACACCCAGGTCATACATGCAACATCCAGGTGGACCGCCCGGCCAACCCATGATGGGATTCAATGGCTCTGGCCCTCAGATTCCAGGCAATGTGGCGGCACTTGCCCAGGGCCAGCAGCCAATCCTGAACGTGAGTTACAGCACGCCGCGTGGATCAGTGCTCCACATCACGAAGCCGTGGCTTACGATTCCGTCACAGGATGCACTTAGTTATCTAGATCAGGTGAAGGTTCGCTTTGTCGACCAACCTGATGTGTACAACCGATTCTTAGATATCATGAAAGACTTCAAGAGCCAAGCGTGAGCGTTATACCGCCGCGGGAATCGTGCCTGACTAACTTGACAGCAGGATCGATACGCCCGGAGTCATCCAGCGCGTTTCTACTCTTTTCAACGGACACCCCGCTCTCATCCAAGGGTTCAACACGTTCTTGCCTCCTGGATATCGGATCGAGTGTGGCACAGAGGACAATCCAGACGCGATTCGGGTGACCACGCCCTCGGGTACCAATACCTTGAGTATGCCCCGTGCTAGACACTCACTGGATTCTTCTGGCGAGCTTGGTCCATCCGGTGGCATGGGCCCTCACGGACGCGCTGAATACTATGACCAGTCTCGACCTGGGTGGCAACAGCCCCAGCCTCAGCAGCAGCAGGGCAATCTTCCAGGATCATACTCTCCTGGGTCCCGCATGATGGGTCCTGGCATGTTTGGACAGCAAGGTGGTCAGGGTCAAGCTCAAGAGCATCACTTTGAATACCCAACCCAGCAAGAGCAACAAGCAGCAGCTGGAGCTGCCGCTATGGCTCATCAGCAGGATCAGCGAGGAGTTTCCCAGCTTCAAGGTGCTGCCTCTGCTGCTTCTGCGGGTCTCACGCGTCCATCCTTGTTGCAGGTGTCCGCAGCGTCTCAACAGGCTCCTAGTCTGACCCAGCCTATGAACAATTTGGCGGGCGTCGGCACCGGCATGCTGCAAGGCTCACAGGATTTGACCAAGCGTGGACCGGTGGAGTTCAACCATGCCATTAGTTATGTCAACAAGATAAAGGTGAGTACTAAACAAGCTATCCGTTATCTAGTTGCTAGGTCAGCTGACATTAAACTTCTTGATAGAACCGCTTTGCAAGTGCCCCTGAGATCTACAAGCAGTTCCTTGAAATACTACAGACCTATCAGCGCGAATCCAAGCCAATCGGGGATGTGTATGCCCAAGTTACCCAGCTCTTCAACACGGCTCCCGATTTGTTGGAAGACTTCAAGCAATTTCTTCCTGAATCTGCAGCGCATGCAAAGCAGCAGGCCGCAGCTCGTCAGGCCGAGGAAGCAGCTCCCATGAGCAATGTTCGCGGCGAGCCGAGCTATCCCAACGCCAATGCTCTTCCTTCTCAGACTCCGAACCGCGACGTCAAGATGCCCCCATTGGGCCAGTTCAATGTCAAGGACTCTGCGAAGGATGGTAAGAAACGTCGGAATGGGCCAGGCGCCCCATCTTCCATGGGTTCTTCAATGTCTGGTCCTTCGGCTGCGGATGCGGCGCGCATGGGAGATATGCAGGCTAGGAACCCAGCTCTCCAAGCTGGTAATGCCAACAAGAGGGCTAAAGTTCATCATACGAAGCCTTCCCAGGCCGAAGTTCCTGCTGTTTCTCCCACCCTCGTACCCGCTTTGCCAGAACCGATTCAGCCGACTTTCTCCTTAACCCCTACTCAGGAAGAATTTGCTTTCTTTGACCGCGTCAAGAAGTACATCGGCAACAAGCAGACATTTAGCGAGTTCCTGAAGCTCTGCAACCTGTATTCCACCGACCTCATCGATAGGCATGTGCTTGTGAAGAGGGCGGCTAGTTACATTGGCTCCAACCCGGAACTGATGGCTTGGTTCAAGCGCTTCATGCATGTCGACGAGCCAGAAGACAAGATCATTGATGTCAAAGCGAAACAAGACTCTGGACTTGTTAATCTGTCTCATTGCCGGTCCCTCGGGCCCAGCTATCGTCTGTTACCGAAGCGTGAGCGCCAGAAGCCTTGCAGTGGCCGTGATCAGCTGTGCTACAGTGTGCTCAATGATGAATGGGCTTCTCACCCCACGTGGGCGTCGGAAGATTCTGGATTCGTTGCCCACCGTAAGAACCAGTTTGAAGATGCCCTGCATCGCATTGAAGAGGACAGGCATGACTATGACCACCATATCGAGGCGTGCACGCGGACGATCCAGCTTATCGAGCCGATTGTTCAGCAATTCCTCGTTATGTCGGAAGCCGAGTGCGCCGCGTTCAAGCTTCCGCCTGGCCTTGGCGGACAGAGCGAGGCCATCTACCAGCGGGTGATCAAGAAGATCTACGACAGACAACGCGGGGAGAAGATCATCAAGGAGATGTTCGAGCGACCGACCCATGTTCTGCCCATTGTTCTTTTCCGTCTTAAGCAGAAGTGTGAAGAGTGGAAAGCGAGTCAGGTAAGACATAAGGCAAATCATTTCTTATTTGGTGGATACTGACCTTGGCAATAGCGTGAATGGGATAAAATATGGCGCGAGCAGATGCAGAAGGCATACTGGCGTAGTTTGGATCACCAGGCGATTGCCAGCAAACAAGTTGACAAGAAGCTGTTCGTGGCGAAGCATATCCATACTGAAATCCAGAACAAGTTTGAGGAGAGCCGGAATCTGCGCAAGAGTGGGTATCAGACCGTCAAGCATCAGTTCGAGTTCACCTTTGATGATCCGGCTGTCATCATTGATGCCACGCATCTGCTACTTACTTTCATCGACCGTAATTCTGCTGGGTTTGGCGCCGACCCACAGAAGGTGATGACCTTC